ATTCAGTAATGGCTGTCATACTGGCAGTTGATTTATTCAACAGTTCTGAGGATCAGAAGATTTCTGTCTGAGGCCCGACCACCCGCGAGGAACGCCAACTGAATCTCTGACTCTCTAACGCTAAATCGGCGTCTCTCGGTCTTTAGTCAGGCCTTTGAACCGCCACAGAAGCGACGATTCGTTTCAGCTTCAGAAACATTAGCGACAATTGTCGCGGTGGTTATCGCGTCTTTTGGTGAAAAACGATGGTGCATCTACAGTTATCTACGAAGCAATCGTGCGCGATTCGCTTGACCAGCTCCGTTGACCATTCTTGTCCGAGAGTGCGGTGGCCATCTGGTCCTATTAAGACGTTCGACGCTTTTTCACCGCAAGGTGCTAGTTGATAAACGACGTGTCTCCGCACGGGCTCCCATGGCGACGTGATGAACTTCTCACAGGCAGTCTGCGCCGGAAATACAGTCATATTTCACGGAAAAATCACGCGTCGTTTCGAGCACAGCTCTCGCACGGTGTGTCGCTCGTTGAAATGAGCTCGTTTATTGGCGTCCTGGCGCAGTTGTCCTTGACATTTCGGGTTTTGGATGTGATGGTATTACTGGGTATCGTAGATCAGGGATTGCCAATTATCGAGCTAGATGCCACAGAAGTTGATAATGGCAGGAAGGTCACCAGAAAGACGATATGCCGCATCTTTCCTACGGCTTAGAATTAAGATCTCATGCTGTGATTGTATTATCAAGTTATTTACGAATTAAATGTTCATTATTTAATATAAAACTAGCCAGGGGCAGATGCGCATCATCGCTGCAATATTGCTGGACAGTGGACATCCACTATCCCTCTCTGGCTGGGCTTTGCGTCATGCACTATCTGATTTATGTGTTGCCATGATTACAATACGTGTCTGGCCATTTTGCGGCGAATGTGTGTCTGCTGTTGACTGGATCTGACACTGAATGTGACTGATGTGCGGTGACGTGGCACGGAACTGGCCGTTTATCCCCGGTATGATTCGGATGTCAGGATGACGGTGGACTGCTGTCATACACTGGCGACCCGGAGCGTAGCAAAAGAGTTGAGATGTGGGACCAAGTTTTTGGGCAAGCGAATTTGATGTAAAATTTTGAGAATGACAATCTACGTAAAAGAGATGAATATCTTTGTATTCATGTATTCAGTGTTAAATATTCAAAATATTTAGAAAAGAAAGCATCTGAAAGCGCCATAAAGACACTGAAATACGACTATTGAGAGCAGAAAGCAGTCACTTTATCTCCTCTCTATACTTTTGCCCGAATGAATTAGACGCCAGCCGTCGCGCCTGCAGAACACCCTCTCGGCTGTGGACGGTAGCAAATTATGGACGTTTCCCCGGCGGCCGGGCACGTATTAGGGCCAGATTTTACCCCACCATCCGCTGGCCGCGGCTCATTGGACGCGCTCATTCTTTGCAGCCAGTGGCCTGATATTAGCTCTGCAGCCGGCGACGGTGGCGGCGCGGCGGTGGCTGAAGCGGCGCGGCGGCGTGCAATGGCGCGGCGGTGGCGCAAAGCGGCGCGGAGCGGCCCGCTCTGATCCCAACACACCGGGCTTAGTGGGTTAATGGATGCAGAGGGCTAATGCCGTTGCAGAACGGTTACGGGTTTAATGATCACTAATTGGGTGTAGGTAGCGGTTCGGGCATTGAATGGAATTCCTCAGCTGCGGTAGGTGTTGCGGGTTTGTGTCGTCACGCGCCGCACGATTGGATAATCTAGGTGGGTTTGGACATATCTGGCTTAGTCACGACACTGATAACTTACTGCTTCATTTTTAGTCAGGCTGCCAACTAGTTTTCATGCATAAGTTGCTATGAATGGCTTGCGGTGTCGCGAAGTTTTCTTTGCTGCTGAAACTAGTCCCGCTCCAGCAGCATTGCGATCTTTTTCAGCTGCGACGTCTCAATGAAAGCTGTATCCACGCTACGTTCCTGCCCACTATCACTGCCCGTATTCACCTCATAACGTCAAACAAAAACGTTGGCCCTGAATGGCAAGGTATGGATCTATGAAAACACGCTTGGGACGCGATTAGGCCGGCAATTGGAGACGCCGGAAGTCCTAATGGGTATTCAGGGGAGTTTGGTGGATAGGAATAGCCTCAGCTGGGTCGAACAGAAATATATTCCCGCTAATGAGTCCCATTATCTAAAGAGGATGCCTTGTAGATGGATTATCATCGGGGCGCGAACATTACATAGTGATTTGTTGGTGGTATATTTGCATACACAAATCATACGGGTTTGTCAGTTGCATTTATTTATTGTTTGTTCTGCTGAACGTTCATCGTTTTAATGAGTGATAAATTAGCTGTGAAAATAATTAACGTCTGTAGTTTGATGGGGTTCCCATGCTTCGGGGCTCCTATTTGTCTAAATTGTTTGCTGATTGACTCTGCCGCAGGTATTCTAGTGGCGTTGTTCCTAGTGTTCGATTACCTGTGGCCTCTGGCATTCGTTGGTTCAGGGCATTTAGCCACCCCTACCCACCAATTACAGTGCTAAATGGCTTTCATCTGTCTTCTCCTCACGGCGAGAGCCCTGGTGGAGTCACGTGTAGCTGGTTGCAGTTCTTGCTGCGGCTATCCTATTCCTTTAGCTGGAACTATTTATTCAACTACTTTTGGCTAGCTGCAATTCCTTCTCCAGCTCCTATTGGCTGGCTGTAACCCCTGTTCCAGCTTTTTCTGGCTGCTGGTAGCTGTTGCTCTGGCTAGTTCCAGAGATATTCCAGCACGAAGGGAGAGCTTCAGCTCCTTTTGGCAGTCCAGAACCCCAGCTTCTTTCGGCTCGCATGCTGTCGCTCTATCTACTTTTAGGGCAGCGGCCTGCTGCAGCTTGATATCTAGCTACTTTATTCACCACCGTCTGCCGTATCAGCGTAGAAGCTCCTCGCCTACCATTACACCTCATTAGGCTACCACCGGGACGACTCGCGCTCAGAGGCTCACATCTGGTGATCAGAGCACCCGAGCGACGAGACACCATCAATGGGTGTAATTTGAGACCCGCCAGTGGCATTGAGAGAGCACCGCCGTCTCTCTCAGCCGGACTATTACTACGCCGAAGGAGGAAGTGCGGCTCGGTGAAATGACAGGGCTCCTGAAGCTCGCACGGGCTTTGAAGGCGCTGATACAGGGTGTCCAGAAAAAACGGATACTATTATTTTTTGCTGTAATTCCGAAAATAAACACCTTACATTTTAAAATGGCACATGCTTGTATTCGCCAAAATATGGCAAAACAGACAGCAGGTGCCACATGGCATGTAAACTCTTTGGTTAGTTGCGGCAGCTCCTCAAAGCAGATACTCAATGTGAGCGGCCTTACGGCGGATCAGCTCCAGCACTAGCACAGTCTGCAGGTGACTGATGGTCATGTTGACCATCTCGGAGGGCAGGCAGACAACTTTCCAACGACGCATTACAGTGCTCATGAGTTTTGCCAAATCTTGCACTATAAGCACATGAATTTGGAACAAAATCGGCACGTGCGTTAATGAATGCGACTTAATTTCCGTAGTATCTTTTTTTCTGGACACCCATGATGTCCAATTCAGTCGGGTTTTGTTGGTGGTTCAGGTAGGCGCATGGTTGCGACGTATTTACTAGAGTTGCAAAATTTCACTACCGCACTACCGGCATGCCGGTAATTTTTCACTACCGCAGGTTTATTCGTGGTATCTGGCATGTCTTGCCGGTAGCATGCCGGTATTTTTGATTTTGTGCAAAAAAAATATCAGCAAATGATTCAAACTTTGGACACTAAGAGGCTCTCAAATTGTAGTAACAGCAATATTAGCCACTGCAAGATACATTTTGTGGTAGAAGTTCCATTGCTAAGTGTAGACCATGGAGTATGGAGTATGGACCTCAGCATTTCACACAATTCACAGGCTTGGTTATAATTAGAATTGTCAAGAATCTACTGTGGTCTATAAAAGGAAGAATACTCATTCATGTTGCAAAAGCACGACAAACTAGTAAGTCTAATGGTAGGTAATACGTATAGCGCAATAAAATAAATCAATGTTCATGACAACATTCCCTAGGGGAAAAGGCAGAATCAAAACACCAAAAAACACAATGTTTGGAAACTGGCCTTGAGTCCTGAGATCATGAGATGTGGTCTGAGAAACTCTACAAAGAATTTGACACTGAAAATCCAGCTGAAAAGGCAGGTGTTAGGTAGCCCTGAGTCTGACTTTGGTCCCATTATTAAATGAAAATAGATTTAAACTGGCATTTTGTCTTATCTTTACAAGAAAACACATCATGCAGGCAAAATTGACAAAAAAGTGGCGCAAATAATTAGACAACCAAGGATTTACTTTTAAGATTCTCTCTCCCCTAATGAATGGATGTAATCTGATGACGTAATATTTATTCATATACCCTTTTGGTTGAATAACTGAAGAGAAATGAATTTCTTTGCGGTGAATTACACTAAAATGTTGATTTCATTATAATTTAATATTGTATTGGGTAATTTTTATCAATATCATCATTCACGAGGCACACTGTAAAAAAAGTTTACCAACTAGTTAGTTATCCGGCCACTTTTCACTAACCATAGGCGTGTAAGCAAAACACGCATTTCATGACTAAGTGTGTTTTCAATTACACGCAAAAGGTTGAATAGCGTGTTTTGAAACACACCTCCTAGTTTTCGAATATTTGCCAGGTTACTAAGATAAGCCGTGTAAGGGTGTTTATTGACTATCATCGGTGTGTTTTGTTAATAACTACAGACGTGTTAGGTAACACATGTGTTTGTCACACGGCCACTTTTCACTAGCTATATGCGTGTACGCAAAACACACATATTGCGTGTTAGCTAACTAAGCTGTGCGTGTTAATAAACTAAATGCATTTTTGAGAACAGGCGTGTAACTTAACTAATGTGCGTGTTAGTCACCTCTTTTCACAGCCGCCCCCCCCCCAAAAAAAAAACGAATCGAATTAAACTCATCAAACATGTTTATTCAAAACTGCATTCAAGCTCCTTTCAGCAAGCTTACAACTGCAAACAGTAATATTTCTCTTATTGTACTAAAAATGAACCTAAAAAAGTAATCTTCTGTAGGAAACTGCCGAGCGGCAAAGGCGCTCCGTTCTAAAGTTACGTTCTAAGCTATAGGCACAGAGCTACGCACAGAGATGCTTGAGACTCTGGACATGTCCCAGGGCGCGGTTCGAAGGGTTAACTGCCGAGCGGAAAAGACATTCCGTTATCAAGTTCTGTGCTCAGCTACTCACAGAGCTGCTCGAGACGCTGGACGTGTCACACGGTTTGAAAGTGTTAACAGCCGAGCGGCAAAGGCGTTCCGTTCTCAGGTTCCGTTCTAAGCTACTCACAGAGCTACGCACAGAGCTGCTTGAGACGCTGGACTCGTCCCAGGACACGGTTGGAAAGAGTTTGGTTGCCCCCCTTTTCAAAGATGTTCACCGTGATAAATATCAGAGCGTTCTTAGCCTTAGACACGGGGCACTTCTGGTTGAACACTGGGAAAATCGCTGCCCACAGAAGCAGGAGATCAGCCTTGCTGCTCCGGTCCACCGACCTTGTCAAGCAGACCCCCTCGACGAAAAGGCCGATGGACCCGTCGTCGTTGACCTGGTAGTGCGGCGCGCTTCCTGATCCCTCAAAGATGTCCTCGGGGTTCGCGTCTAGGTAGTAGAGGAGAGACTCCACGCAGTCGGTGTCTGAAATAGAGGTAAATTTTCAGACTGATATTTACCTCTAACAGTATAACACTGCTACTTGCTAGCTGCTTGAGTTCTTCCGATCTCACGGATATCGTATAAAATGCCACCAAGGCCTCGAATTTCGAGACCATGCCGCTAACAACACAAATTTTGATATCTATTTTTTTTTGGGGGGGGGGAGGGTCAGTTTTCACCTGGTCATGTGAAAACTGGTCTGGTCGTCAGGTCAAGGATCAAGTGATTCGCCAATCCAATAAAGGTCGCTGAAGTATAACAGCACAAATGTCAGTATAACACCTGTTCGGCGATGAACGAACGAGCCCAAGAGGTGTCACGTTTATGAAACGCATACTGAACTAGCTGGCTGCTTTTGACCATATCACTGTTAATTCGATCAAATAAACAGCCGTGAGCCACCTCATGGGCGATGAAAGAGCGAGCGAGAGAAACAGGCGTCACAGAGTAATTTGCACGCTTAAACCTAACTAGTTAAGAGCGTTTTGAAAACAAGGATAAACAATGCACAGACAAAGCACACGACACAAGTCAGAGTAGTATTTTGAATTTAATTTTCATTCATCTGCTAGGTACTAGATTTGAAAGTAATGAGCAGAGACGTGTCTCACGTCGCCCATAGGTTAGTAGTTCGGCAGCAATCTTGCATGGTCGTAATGGGGGGGGGGGCAATAGTTGACGTGAATGGTTTACCGTATTTACCTTGACATTCTGTGATCAGTTGGATGGCGGTGAGAAAGTCGCTCAGGCGGCGCCTGTAGTCACCAAGCTTAGACGACTCCGTCTCCCCCTCCAGTTTGGCCAGCTCACGCCAGATCTGGAACAACCGGCATCAACAATATAATTAGAGGACAGTTAAGTCATATTATAGAATCCTCCATGGATGAGAAAACGTCAGAAAGCTATGGTGGGCGACGAATAAAAGCCGAAACGATGCAACACACAGGGGACATTTTATGGAATTAGAGAGTAGGAATATAATGACAATTTTACAACTTCCAAGGCATACTTAGTACTTACTTCGTCTGGGTTCCGCAAGATTGGATACAGCTCCAAAAGCTTGCGCATGCTGGTGCGGAGCGTCACCACATGCCTGCGCCTGTCTGCGAACGTCGAGTTGATCAGGGCCTCTCGCTCAGCTTTGCCTTCGCTCGTCAGGTTAGCCTCGTGTAGATGCTTCAAGAGGCGGTTTCTCAGATGCTGAACGTCTTCCTCCGGCATAGGCGGAAGGTACTCTGTCGAAATGTTCATACGAAATGTTAGAGCCAGCGGGGGAGGAGGAGGGGGAGGAGGGGGAGGAGGGGAGAGAGAGAGAGAGAGAGAGAGAGAGAGAGAGAGAGAGAGAGAGAGAGAGAGAGAGCGAGAGCGAGCGAGAGCGAGCGAGAGAGCGAGAGAGAGAGAGAGAGAGAGAGAGAGAGAGAGAGAGAGAGAGAGAGAGAGAGAGAGAGAGAGAGAGAGAGAGAGAGAGAGAGAGAGAGAGAGAGAGAGAGAGAGAGAGAGAGATAGAGAGAGAGACCGCTCTCTTCGCCCATGCCAATAACTTCATATGGCCAATGCAAAGTGGCACACTACCTTTAATATATGCAATGCAAAGCTTGCAGAAGGGCAAAATATTCACCACTAGTCGCTTATCAGTCACATGTACTACATCATACTACATCGCTGTCTTGCATTTCACAATGCACAATGCTTACCCTTGTAGCCTTCGAATCCTTCATATCGCGATCCCTTGAATGTTTTTCCGCGTGACAACCTCTTTGATGACGCTTGGAGTTCGGCATCACTTCCGTCGTCTCGTCGCTTCTCATTCCTTACGCGCCATTGTATTTTTGCTTTGACCTGCGACTGAGACAGGAAAAGCAGTGCATAAATTACAACCCAAGGGTAGATGTAACGTTAAGGGCGTTCAACATCCACTGCAGCTGGTATATAGAGGCAATGCATGGTTCACACGGAGGCTGAACTAAATGGTACTTCGACTCCGTAATTACTCGTAGACTTTATAACCTTTGTCCTTTGCCAATACCATATAAGGCACGCATTTCAAGCACATGAAGCTGATCCTTATGCGTTTGTGATGCTGACTTTAACTAGTCATCAAGTGAGAGTTGATTCCGCAGTCGGAGACAATTCCGAAGGGTCGGAATCGGAATCGGAGTCACTCAAAAACACATTGACTCTGCAACCCTCACATGCAGACATACATATTTACATACATACAAACATATACTTCATAGTATAGCACATACATACATACATACATGGATAATTATGCATATATCCAGTGCTGCGGAGTCGGAGTCGGAGTCGACCGGAGTCGGTAGTTTTGGCCGGAGTCGGAGTCGGAGTCGATAATTTTTCACCGACTCCGACTCCGGGCCGGAGTCGGAGTCGGTTTCAGCACATTTTTAATATTTTCCTTCTCTGTCGCGATGTTGACCAACACATTGACCTTACAAGCTGACCTTACAAGACATTCGGAGCCCGAACCGTTAACTGAATGCAAAACGGTTGAATAGGGTCGCAAGAGCTGTTGAATTATTCTCTTTGTGGCTATATAGCCCATATAATTTCCGACATACAGGGACATTTATCTGGCAATGTCCAAAGAGCACTTTCGCAAGTATTCATTACGAGCTTTCGTTTGCTTTTGTCTCGTCTTTCTAGTCCTCTTGGATTTCAAGTTGAACGGACAGGGAGTGGGGGAGGTCATTCTGACTCCCACCTTACCCCAAAGGCGAAAGTGGTTCAAACCCCCACCCCAGCGCGGGTTAGGAAATAAACTTGAAAACTAATTTTGAAGTGAAGTTTAGTTTAATTCCAAATTAGCCACTATTGTTCCGCATTTAAACCAGTGCGAAGAAGCCGCCCATATTTAGAAACATTGGTCATGCAGGTATGTCAAAGTAGGGCGGGTCGGAGTCGGAGTTGGAGTCGGAGTCGATTTTTTCAAGACGGAGTCGTAGTCGGAGTCGGAGTCGCTAAAATTTGGTCGACTCCGCAGCCCTGAATATACATACAAGTATGGCCAGATCCAGGGCCGGAGCAGTTCGCAAACGCTTCAGTTCAGTTCATTCAGATCGACTTTACTTGAGGTTCAGTTCAATTACCTATTTTCCAATTCAGGACATGGTGACTAAGTGCCTCCGTTCAGTATATTCAGCTGAGTTCGATTAGATAAGTTCACGAACTGTCCCGGACCTGGACCGATGTCATTTTCTATTAGTTGATGGAATCAAACAGCAACGCAATAAGTGCTTACCAGTGCCTGTTTCGGGCTGCACCCAAAGTGCAGCGCCGGCCATTGAACAAGGGCGCGGTCAGCCAGCTCCATGTACCGAGCATGAGTAAGGTTCAGGACGCTTGGAAAAAGAAAGGGCATGGGAGAGCTTAACGACTTGGAGACGCTAGAACAGGAGTTTTCAGGGCAAGGCATAGACATAAGACATCATTTAAAGGAAATATGTAAACATGAAAGCACACCACACGAGACAGTAAAACCGACATAAAGGTGGAAGGCAGGAAGGTGTCACTGGGTCATCCGAGGTCACCTGAGGTCACAAGCGGTTTTTGTGCAATAACTTTTGATTGAATTGAGATA